TCATAATAGTGAACGATTATATTTTTGTCTTATTCTGTATAGTATCACAACTTTAATATAATTTTTTTCTCTCACCTCTGCTGCTTTATGCATTATCCAGACTTTTATTTATTTCTTCCTTTTAGTTCCTTTGTGCTTAACATTCCATTTTCATTCAGTGATGATGATGATGATCATCATCATCATCATCATCATAAATATTATTACTCATTCACAGGGGACTATTTATTTTACTAAAATGCTCTCTTCCTAACTTGAACTATTAGGATAGCTTGGCTTTGCAGCCTATTGAGTGCTTGGGAAGTTTCTTTGACACTCCCATTATATCTGGGAATCATAGCCAAAGGAATTGCTTGGAATTGTCAACAATTTGATTAATACAAGCTGTCTGAAATATCCTATAGAGTAAAAAATAAATTTCCAAATGCTTTATGAATAAAATGATTTCATTTCTGTATGAATTCGCTATTTCCATGGTAAGTCACAATTCCTTTCCATCTTATTTACCTAAATTTTGAGCCTTTTTCCAGAAGGAGGTTTTACACATTCTGCATTTTTGATACTATCAATTACAGAAAGGTCAAATGCCATATAATCAAAAAGAGGTTATACCAGAAGAGTTCAAACTTTTTGGTCTTGGGACCTCTTAATATTCTTAAAATTGGGGACCTCAAAATGCTTTTATTTAATGGGAACTATGTGTGTCTTTCTATATATATATATACACACAAACATGTACATATAAATATACATATATCAGTATTTCAGATATCAGAAATTAAAACATCTTAGTATCATTACAAACTCCCCAGGTAGCCATCAGGGCTAGAAAATATCCATCTCTCAGGATCTTGTTTTGGTGAAGTGGACAGAGAAAGAGAGACAGACAGACAGAGACAGAGAGAGACAGAGACAGAGATAAAGAGAGAGACAGAGACAAAGACAGAGACAGAGAGAAGGGAAGAATTTGAAGTTTTAGGTCATTTAGGCAAGCACAGGTTCTCACTGCCATGTTTTTGCAGCCACCATTTGGGTTGAAAAAAAAAATCCCTCTCTCTCTCTCTCCCCACTCCCTTTATGAAAGTCCAAGGAGAGCTGGGAGAGTCCCAATAATATCAAAAGAAAGAGGTGGAACTGTGTCTCATAACTTAATGAAGTGACATTTCATTTCTTCCTGGCTCAGTCACCAGCTGTCTTCAACAAAATCCCTCTCACAGGAACAAATAGGACATTACTGATCCATCTCAGGAAAGTGAAGCACATGACCTTCCCTATGAAGCCATGCCTAGTTCCATGGGAGGTGCCCAGTCTAGCAGATGAAGGAATTTCCCTGATACAATAACAATAAGGGTGGTATATATTGGACTTAGAGTTAAGAAGACTTGGCTTTTTACCCCTCTTGTGACACTTAGCGTCTGTATGATCCCAGCAAATCACTTATTCTTTACATCAGTAGTCCTTAACCTCTTTTTTTTTTTTGTCATGGACTTTTTTGGCAGTGAAGCTTATGCCCTCAGAATAATGTTTGTTACCTCCATTTATTACTGAAAAAAAAATGTTTAACTTAGGTTAGAGGTTGGCGGAAAAAAAAGATGTACATTTTTTACATAAAAATTTATGGACCTCTGAAATCTATCCATAAGGTCCCTTGTAGCTTTATAGATCCCAAGCTGAGTCCCTACTCTATGGACTGCACGTAATTATTTTGTACTTATCTATGTAAGAAATGCGTTATGTTCTTCATTGTTCAAGGGATTTTCCATAGTAAGAGTCCCCTATGTTAATGAAACTCCTGCTCTTTCATATATTCATTTATTATTAATAATTATATTCATTAACAAATAAGTTTTTAGATCTGTTTAGTTTTTACCCGATTTGTTTTTTTTTCCTCTCCCTTGTAATTGTTGCTAATCACATTTACATAGTACTTTAAACTTCTGAAAGCACTTTTGCCATGACCACCCTGAGGCTGAGAGAGGCCAAGCAAATTACCTATGGTTTCCTGGCCAAAGATTTATTCATTTGTGCGAATAAACCTCTGGCATAGTTTAGAGAACATCAATAATGAACATTTTCTTTTGAATTATTTGAATCCTAGGATCTTCAATTAAAAAAATGAAGTGAGCCAAAGATCATCTCACTCAACCCACTTTATACGGATGAGAACACCATCAGCAACTTGTGCAAGATCTCATAAATAGAGAATATCAGATCTGTAATCCAACGCCCCTGCTCTAAATCCAATATATGCCCAAGTATTCCAAGGGCTACGATGGGGAAGGAAGATTAAAACTTCTTCTTTTTGACTTCAAGGAGTAGCTCAGGGCAGTTGCAAAGAGGCAGATTATTTTGGGGGGAGGTGAAGGAGAAATCAGATTAAATAACGAAAAAATCAGAGCTGTCCCAAAGTGGAAGAGATACTTTCAGAAGTAGAGAGCTGTCCCTCATGAGGGAGTCTGGGTAACAATTTGTGAGCTGCTTTATAGAAAGAATTCTTGTTTTCTTTTGTGTTAGACTAGCTGACCCCTATGATACTCATTACTTTTGGGAAAGATAGATAAATAACTGTCTATAGTTTAATGTGGGGAAAAAATTTGAAATGTGGTGGAGAAGACAAGAAATGGAAAGAAATATAGGTCAAGTGACATTCCGAAGAACTGTAATGAAGAATTCTTTGGTTTTATCTTGAAATTCTGTTGGATTCTTTAAAGATAGAATTTCCAAGGGGTTCTTCTTTTTTTTTTTTATCTTGCTAGAATTTTTGGAGAGGTGTTTTTTTAAAAAAATTAGTTATTTGTATATATAAATTTTGTGCATGCCCATTTATTCGATTTTGTCCATTATCCCACTCCCACCTTATTCCCACACCTGCTTACACATACTCTTATTAAATATTAAGGACTTGGACAATGACAGTTGAAATATTTAGTGACAGCTGATATTCCCTTATTGGTGCTAAAACTGGAGATCACAAGAAGCTTCAGCTGGGGTAGAATTAAGGCTTCTGGCTACTTATGAATATTAAGCATGAACGTGTTGTATTGTGGCTCTTTCTTTGCTTCAGTATTATCAGGAGATCATATATTTAGGAAAGAACTTGTGTAGGCATATTTTTCAACCCCCTCATTTTAGAAATGTAGAAACATAACTTGCCCTACATTAGGCAGAATCAATATGAAGCCCAGATCCTCTGTCTCTACATCTAGCATTCTTAGCTCAATCAATCTAGCTGAAGAGAATTCACTTTCACTAATAAAACTCTCACTTATTTAAAGCCAAGTTACTCTTCTGGACACTTCTCCCAAAATACTTAACTCCAAGGAATTGGTACATTTAATTCAATTCAATTTAATGAGTATTTAATAAGTACCAGCTATGCTCTAGGCACTATGCTCTGTTAGAAATACAATAAAAACAACAAAACTATCCCTGACCACAAGGAGTTTCCATTCTATTGGTGCAGGGAGGAGAGGGAGAGAAGGCATACAAATGTGTGTGTGTGTGTGTGTGTGTGTGTGTGTGTATGTATAGATAGATATTTGTGTCTGTGTCTATGTCTGTGCATATATAACATGCATAAAATAACTGGAGAACGATTTCAGGTCAGGAGCGAGCCCTAATAAATGGGGACCTCACCAGAGGGGTAATGCAGGAGATGGTATTTGAGCTAAGGAATAATAATGATAATAATAATATCATAATTGCTAGTATTTATATAGCACTTTAAGGTTTGCAAAGTGCTTTGCAAATATTAATCTCATTTCATCCTCATGACAATCTTGAGAAGTAGATGCTATTATTATCCCCATTTCACAGTTAAAGAAGATGTATCAGACAGAAGCCAAGAGACTTGCTCAAAGTCACATAGCTAGTAAGTGTTTGAGACAGAATTTGAACTGAGGTCTTCCTAATTCCAGGTCATGTTCTTTCTGCACTAGAATAATATGAAATCAGACTAGAAAGACAGGATAGGACTTGGTTGAAAGCGACAGTCAACACCATTCAGAGAAATTTTTATTTTATCCCTAGGGCCACTGAAGTTTCTTGAAAAGGAGAGTAACATGGTCAGACTGTGTTTTCAGAATATCGGTTTCGCAACTGTGTTGACAATCAGTTGGAGAAGGGAGACAAGAAGCAGAGGGCTATTTAGAGTGTCCAAGTGAGAAGGAATGAGTGTCTGAACTACTGTGGTGGCTATGTGAGTGGAATTGAGTAATGTAAGGCATGTAAGGAGTCCAGGCACTAAATTTCAAAAACACAATCTGCTGCTTATTATCTGTGAGACAATTAGTATGTCACAACCTTTTAGGATATAGTTTTCTCCTCTCTAAAAGAATGGTGTTGGACTAGAAAATCTCTAGAGCCTTTTCAAGCTATGAAACTATCCTTAGGGATGCAGACTTTATTTTTAAGGAAAATCAGGCAGGATATAAGTAGATCGATAGGTATGTATATGTATACATATATGTATATATATAGTGCTTTTCCTAATCTAACAATGTGCCTGCATATGTAATATTTCAGTCAAAGGTGGTACTTCTATGACTTGTTTAATTCTTTAATATATGACTGGTACTCAAGAAGAAGTCTTTGCCCAGTGGAAATTTTTTGGGGGGAATGGGATATATATGTACATAGGTATGTGGATATGTATATGTGTGTGTGTGTATGCACACACACACACACACACACACACAAATATATATATATATATATTTTTTTTCAATTATGCCTAGAAAAATCTTATCTTACAGTGGCATAGCATCACCTCTTCACCTCTTCCACTACACGTGTCCATAATAAAGTTTTTCTTCATGCCTCCAATTCAATAAACCTCTATGAACCAAAGCTCCTGTGGATATCAAAGAGGGAAAAAAGAAAAAAGAAAGAAAGAAAAAACAGGATTAAGGAATTTAGAGCATCTACAGTGACTACACTGCCCTCTAGTGTCAGAAGCACATAATGTACTGTAATTTATTTGGTGCTTTTCTCCTTTTCAGATCAGCATCTTCATGACCCATTTGTCCAACTACGGGAATGACCGCCTGGGGTTATATACATTTGTGAACTTGGCCAACTTTCTGCAGAGCTGGACTAACCTGAGACTGCAGACTCTGCCTCCAGTGCAGCTGGCTCACAAGTACTTTGAGCTCTTCCCAGAGCAGAAAGACCCTCTCTGGCAGGTAGGATTGGCTCAGAAATTGGACATGATTTGTAAAACAGATAAACTAAGGATAAAAAAAATAGCACTTTTTTTCTTCTTCCGTAAGATAATCTTAACTGATACCTGAAGAGTCAAAGCTTTTAAATAGAGTCCTATACCTGGAAGATCTGGGTTCAAATTCTACTTTAGACACTTACTAGCTATACGATACTTAGCAGGTCATTTAATTAGTTCTCTTAAAACAGAGATAATAATAATACCTGTCTAAAAGTGTTGTTGCAAGTATCAAATGACATATCATACATAGAATGCTTTGCAAATATAAAACATATTGTGCTAGCTAATAATATTATTATTATTCTATAACATTGTATTAATAGGATTTAGTGAGGTTCGGATTCGCTCCTATAAATGACACTCTCCAATGCACCAGAAAATAATAGGAAATAGATAATTTATTTAGAAGAAGTAAAGCACAGATAGTTTGAATTTGCATAGAAAGCATAAATAATAAGAACAATCAATAATATAGCACCGATCAAGAGAGTCGGTAATGGAAGAGAATACATCACCAATTCAAGGGAACCTCCAAAATCAATCAACGGCTGGGAGCCCCGTTGCAGCCAGTACAAACTTGAATTGTGTAAAGATTTTCCCGGGCGAAGCGTCCTTCCCGCGGGTGAGGCTCAGCGGGCTTACAGGACGCAGTGTTTTTATATTGTTCTAAACAAAGAAGGCTTGGGGCCAAGAACCCCTTTTTGATGCTTGCGCTATTCATGGTTTGTCCAATACACATCTGACCTTAGCCACGCTCCCATCCGCCTGAGGCTTGGTATTTTGTTTTTTAATAACATCACGTCTCACAAGGAGAGGAGCCAACCCTCCATGTCAACGTGACCTAGGAATGGCTAGTTCCTGGAATGCTAGGCCAAGAACACTCAGGAGATATGGAACGGTCATGACCGAGATTTAAACTGAACCTATTTATTTGAGTGATCTTATTAATTTAAAGGGGAATTTCCAATTTCCATTTCAAACATCTAATTATTTTAAGAGTTGGCAGATTTTAATAGCCCTTGCATTATATGGCTGAAAATCTTTTGACTCTTTAGCTGACAACGTGAGTGAGTAATTGCCTTGGTATCTAAACGGTATTTCCATGGTAATTTTTAGGATAGTCAAGATAATGATGATATGATCCAGACCTGTAATTTCTTCATAGATGTGGAGAATTCTGAATGTGGAAACTGCTTCCACTGCATTTTCCTTTTACAGATTAGGAGAATGTCTATAATTTATAGTCTTAAAGGGTTAGTTGCCCAGGACACTGAGAAGATAAGTGACTTACCCAGAGTCACACAGTCAGTGTGTATCAGGGATAGGACTTGAGACCAGGTCTTCCTGATTTCAAGTGGATCTCTAAGTGCTATACCATAGTGACTCTTACTCCATGGTTATCAAAAGTCATGAAATGCAAAAATGCCAAAAAAGTCTTCATTTAGCAGAGCTTATCAAATCAGAAATGGACAATTTTTTTTATTAAGTTATTTATTTGGTTATTAACTCACTTATTTTCTGTGTTTACTTATTCATGTATTTAGCTTTACTTACTTCATTTATTTACCTATTATTTACATATTTATTCATTTATTGATCTATGTTTTGATTTGTTTATTTATTTTTTACCAGGCTAAAGGTGTAGGAGAGTGTATTAGGTAGGAAATGTTTATGCTTAAGGATATCTAGGTAATGAATAATTAAGGAGGTAAGGTGTCAGAGTTATTAAAGGATGGTGGACAATACAGGAATGATTTCACAACCTAGGCACTTAGTGGTACTCCAATGATTCATGCAACTTTGGAAGGAAAATTTCATAGGATTAAAGCATGGCTTTATCACTGAAAACAAGACAAATAATCAGAGACAGAAAGACAAAGAGGCAGGTGAGAGAGAGAGAGAGAGAGAGAGAGAGAGAGAGAGAGAGAGAGAGAGAGAGAGAGAGAGGAGATCCGAGGAAGGGGAGAGAAAGAGAGAGACAGAGAGACAGAGAGACAGTGGTGGGGAGGGTGACCTGGAGCCAAGAAAACCCAGATTCAGGTTCTTGCTTTGAACCATCCCGGATGTGTGACGCTGTGCAAGTCCCTTAACCTCTTGGTGCTCTAAGGAAATTCAAAGACCCTAAGTTAGAGAGAAGGTGCCAACCTTCACTGGCAGAGATGATTGTCTCAACAGGTAGTTCCCTGGACCAGTGACATCACAGATCTAATCCTCGTCCCTAATCATACTTTCTCCAAACATGTTTTCTCCCAGGATACAGAAGAAGAAACTTTCCTGCTCCCTAGAGCTGAAGACTTAAACCAAAGTTCATTTTACCGCTAGTCTGGTAGTTGTTTGGGGATGTTTCCACTCTGGAGGGCTGAATCCACTCTGGTGCCAGAGAAGCAGAAATGACAACAAAGACGTGTGCTCTGCTTATGGAAAAGAGAGTTCTCTTTGCACAGGGTTTACTTCAAGCCTCTTTTTTGAGGGGTGCTGTAGTGGGAAGTTAAGGAAAGCCTTCAAGTAATAGCTAACATTCATGGGTTTTATTTACATTATACAGCTTGATCCTATCAAAAATCTTTGCACTCTGTGCTATTGGCTTCACCTCAGCTTTACAGATGAGAAAACTGCAACTCAGACAGGCTAAATAATTGGCCCAAGTTGACCCAGGTAGTAAATGATGGAGGGCAAATTTGAACCCAGGCCTCTCCTGACTCCTCATGTAACACTGTACCATCTTCATATTGCTTACACTTTGATGATTACAATTTGGCTCCAAATTCTATTTCCAGACCAATTCGATGTTACTCCCCTTTCAAATTCTATGCTTCAGCCAAATTGGACTCCCTGTTGTTCCCCTTTAAAGAAAACATAGGAAAATGAAAAATTTCAAGAATGCATGTATCTATAAATTGAAGGTGCCTCAACTCTGGAGCTAGAGTCTACTCAGATTCTTCCAATTCAGACTTCTAAGTCAATTGTTACAGAGTACCCTAATCACAGACAAAAGTGAACAGAGCTTAAACAAACAAAAAAAAAGGTAGACTTTGATTAGGCAATTGAAGGCTATGTAAGACAATGGGAAAAGTCCTAGATCTGGAGGTAGAAACCTGGGGTTCAAATCTCATCTCTGCTTTTTAACTTCTTGATTTTATCTGTAAAACTTTGGGTACATCACCAAATCACCCAACTTCCCTCATTCTCAGTTTCTCATCTTTAAAACAAGAGAGTTAACTAACAAATTTTCAGTGCTTGATCTCAGCAACCTAATAATTACATCAGCCACGCTTACTTTTTAAGTACTGCGAATCAGTATCACACAATAGAGCCAATATCATCAAATATAATTTTCCTAATAATGTAACACCTTTTTTTTCCCCATGGTAAACATTGTTATTACAAGTGACACATTCTGAACTGATTCCTTTACAAGGCAGATGTCAAAATGAATATTCTTTTTTTTTTTTTTTTTGCTTAGGCAGTGGGGTTAAGTGACTTGCGCAGGGTCACACAGCTAGTAAGTGTTATGTGTCTGAGGTCACATTTGAACTCAGGTCCTCCTGAATCCAGAGCCAGTGCTCTATCCACTGCGCCACCTAGCTGCCCCCAAAATGAACGTTCTATTTTTTTTCTTTAAATCTCTTCTGTGCTAAAAAATAAGCTACAGCTTTAAAGTGCTACAGTCTGTAGCATTTATTTATAGAGTAGAAATATAAGCTAAGCCCTCTTGACCATTTTTGAAAATAATGACAAAATATATCATAATCCTAAATTCTTTCCAAATAATATTTACTCTGATGTTGAAATTAAATGAAAGGAATATTAAGATGAATCTTATATAAAGAGTTTGCATATATGTAGTACTAGTCAAATTAATTAACAATTAACTTTCTGCCCTATTTTAAAATTGACATTTTCAGTAACTCTAAGCAAAAAGTTACATTTCTACATTTTCTGAACATTTGTATTGAAATTAAGGACATCTACCAAAAACCAATTTGGCTTCTCTAAATATTAGTTCTATTATTGGACAGATCCTTATCCTTTAAAGCTCAGCATGAGCACTAAAAGAATCCTATAAGATAAGAATCTGACCCATTATATTGTAGTCATTTATTGAGTGCTGATACTCTGGCATCCTTTAGGTTAACAGGAATCTCCTGCATAGGAGGCTAATAAGACCAAGAGAAAAACCATTAGAGAAAGTAATTAAGACTTTAAAATGTTAACAGAGAAAGTATTGAAATGCTCAATATGTGAGGCTATTTTGTCAGAGTCCTATAGTGATTCTCTTCTCCCCTATTTCCATCCTCAGTGGAATAACAACTTCACTATAGAATGCTTTTGTATAAAAGATTCACTGATGCTGGGCCAAGAGTTTTTACTGTTCTAGGAGAAAAGACAGCACAACCATGCTTCCTGAGAAGGTTTTGAGTAGCTAGGGTTCAAGAGTTGTCAGACAGCACCAAAAAATGTTTTATATACTGGTCCCTGATACTTATTCTTTTTTCCCCCAATTAGAATCCCTGTGATGACAAACGCCACAGAGATATCTGGTCTAAAGAAAAAACCTGTGATCGCTTACCAAAATTTTTGGTAATAGGACCTCAGAAAACTGGTGAGAGCTCTTTCTTTATATTTTGATGTAATTACTCATATAACAAGCCAAATGACCCAAGAGTTTACCTAGCACTTTTGTTACTTTGAAAATGCTTTCTTTAAATTCCAGAGAACTAAGACTTTCTTTACCGGTAGAATCATTGTTTGGCTCAATAACGTACTTCAGTACACATCAAAGTGTTTTTCTTTTTCTCAAGTTGAAAAGTTGAAAACAAATGACACGCTGGTTGAATATGTAAATTCCATGCCAAATGTTACCTGTTCTCAAAGGGCTTTGTTGACAAGTGTTGTGATCACCACTTCTAAAATCAAGTTCTTCATGTAATCCCAGGATGAATGACAGAACTTTCTCAAAAGTCAAGTGGGAGACATTTAAGTATCTCTCTTCCTGTACAGTAAATACTTCATAGGGAGGGGAGAAAAAATACTTTCTGAAGTGTTCAGTCTTCCCAACATGGTACATTGCTAAACTGACTCTTTGGCAGAGATGACTATTTTTAACAAGCTAAAAGATGCCCGACATGCTGAACTCCCAGATATAAACAAAGTTTTATGCAGCCTATAGGAATGAAGATGTTGTGCATCCATACCTAGCAGAAAGCCATCCCACTTCCTCTAACATTTAAGTTTCTTTCTCACAAACTGCTTACTTCCATAAGATTATTAAAACAAAGCCCAGTGAAAGCTTAGAACTCATCCCTGGGATTTAATCTTTATCCTCTAGGATAGATTCTGTGAGATTGTGGTTGACTCTTTTGGATTTTGGCTGCATAAATAATTTACATTTATGTAGGGTTTTAAGATTTGCAAAGAATTTACACATATCTCCTATAAACTTCACAACAGCCAGACAAGGTTATTGTCATCTCCATTTTGCACATGAGAAAATAGAGGTTCAGGAAGTTACATGCCTTGCCAGTTTGCTACAGTTACTAAGTGTGTATGGCTGGGATTTGAACTCAGGTCTTTTGACTCCAACTCTCTAACACTCAGCACTCTGCAACACTTCCTCTACACTTCTATTTATTAACATCAACAAGCATTTATTGAGTGTCTGCTATGCTCCATGGTCTATGCTACACAGATACAAAGACCAAAAAAAAATCTAACTAACAAACAAAAAATAGTCCTTGCCCTCAGGGAGCTGACACTTTATTGGTTGGAAATAATACGTGCAGATATAAGCACAAACAAAATACATACAGAGTAAAGACAAAATAATTTCAGGAGGGAAAAGCATCAACAACTAGGGAGATCAGTGACATTCTTGTGTACAAGGTGGTGCATGAGCTGTGCTTTGAAGAAATCTACAAATTCTTCAAAATGGAGGTGAGGATGGAGAGCATTGCAGCAATGGGGAGACAGTCTCTTCAAAGTCATGGAGACAAGAAATGGGTGTTAGTAAGGCAATTTGGCTGGAATTCAGAGTGCCTGAACTGGAGTAATATAAAATCCTTTGGAAAACTAGGTAGAAACCAGACCGTGAAAGATTTAAAATGTCAGACAGAAGAGTTTGTATTTTATCTTGGAGGGAAAAGGGAGCCACAGACAGGGAGGTAGTGTGGTACAGTAGAAAGAACAATGCACTTTGAGTTATCTGGTCTGAGTTTGAATCCTAACACTGCTACTTACTAGGTTGGTGATTCCAGACAAGTTATTCTAAAGATCTTTCTGTGTCTTGGTTTCCTCATCTATAAAATGAATGGGGTTAGGTTAGATAATCTGTAAGGTTCTTCCGGGTCAAAATCTAGGCTCTTAATGATATTCCTGAGCAGCAGTGTGACATGGTCAGATACGTTCCTTAGTACTATCGATAAGACCGGTCCCTGAGAGAACTTGACATGATGTTCAGCATCATGTGGCATGATGAACCTGTTTTACCTGGTGCTTTTTCCATGTGCCCATTTCTATAACTGGCCTGACGCATGAAAGCCTGAGCATATTCTAACACTACTTAAAGGTGAGATGAATGTCAGAGGTGAGTGGTTTCAGTTTGAGGTAGAGAACCAAAGTATCATAGGGTCTTAGACTAGGAAGGAACCTTAGAAGTCAGGTCAACTCCCAGTCCCAACTCTACAACATCCCTGACTGATTTATTCCAGTCTCTGAATAGTTTATTAATGAGAATGCATCTCCACGTTTTTAGTTTTCCACCTAATACACGAGGATCAGCTGTGTCGCCTTTCTTTTTTTTTTTTTTTATTAGATAAAGGGAAAAGAGTTTCTGGGAATAGAGTACTTAATTTTCTAAGAACATCTTGGACTCTGTTTCACAGTCATTATACATAACATTTGTAAAGAAAATGTTTTCTTGTCATATTATAAGCAAATGAGTTTCAGTCTATCCATTTATCCACAGTCACAAAGAGTACATATGATTGGATTCAGGGATAATCTCATCCAGAATTACTCAGTGTTCCATGGAACCTTTGTGTTCTTCATGATAAGTAATAAATGCTTGTTTAATTGAATTGAATTGGAAATGAATAGGAGCTCTGTGTGAAAATGTCTATAACAAAGATATTTTCCCCTATAGTATTAGATGAAAAATTTTGTATGCCTCATAGATTTTGAGCTGGATGGGACTTTAGGGGTCACTTAGTGCAACCCCTCCTCATTTTACAGATAAGGAAACTGAGGCCCAGAGAAGTGAAACAACTTTTTCCAAGCTTCCCAACTAGTAAGTGTCAGAGGTGAGATTTAAACCTCAAAAACCAATGCTCTTTCCATCGTGCTATGTTTCTTTTCCATAAAATGCATATTATACTTGGTATGAAAACGTACATAATTTCTTCTATTTTGCTTCAAATCTCCCCAACTCCTACATATACCAAGAGTAGTGATATACCTTGCACCTTCCCCATCCAACAGAGACACAGAGACATAAACCTGTGGCACCAGAATTTATGAATCATTTTTTTATTATATCTTAAAGCTAAAAAAGTTTTGTGGTCAATTAAAAAAACCTATTTATTTAGATCTTATCTTTCTGTATTCACTTGCTCAACAGTAATGTCTTTGATAACATGACTCATTTTGACATTAGAGAGAGAGATAGATAGAACAGACATAAGGAAAATACGAAAAATAAAAGATCATAAAAAACACTTTACACAATAAATAACGTGCAACATAATAACCAAGTAGGATTGGGACAAATGATCACCCCCAATGGGAGACATACAGCATCACATGGCCAAATTTGATGAACATTTCTAGACCTTGACCTGAAAGAAAAACTGAAATTGAACCGATAGTACTCTCAACAGATTACATGATTGTGCAAGTAATGTTAAAAAATATGGAAGCAGATGCTACAAGACTGTTTCTGGGCAAAGCATACTGAATTCATAGATTAAAAATTGCCTATGTTATAATCCCTTTATAGAATATAACATCATAGATCTAGAGACAGAAGCAATCTTAGCGGACATTAAGTCCAACCCCCTCATTTTTCAAATTAGGGAACTGAGAGGCCCAGGGAGGTTATGTGACTTGTCCAGTGTTACACAGCTAAGTGTCTGAGGCAGCTTTTCCTGACTCCTTGAAAAGTGTTTTCTCTATTACTCTGTTTCACGAGGCATTTGAAAAACTGATTTCTAGAATTCATCTGTCCAGAGTTTTATTTTTTATTTGTCCATCTAATACATGGCTTATTATGATAGGGGGTGGGGAGGATAACTCTGATCAGGCATTTTAATAATGCTGTTAATTTGGTTTTCAAAAACCGTTACCCTACCCCCACCCCCAGCCCCAACCCTTGGAATCTACAGTTCTCCTTAGGCCATGTGGCTCCATTAGAAAATGCAACATTTAAAATTTCTGTACCTGAAGAAATCGAAGCCTTTTTTTCTGTGAAATTTACATATTTAACACCTTGCTATAGGAAGTTCTATGAATACAGAAACATATTTCAAGCTAAATCTAGTCTGCTGAACTACTTTGTTGAGATCTGGTCATTTAGTTCAGCCTCGAGTTTCTCCACAGCTCGGAGGTGTTAGGAACTTTACATGAGAACCTAGAGGCAGACTTGATTTTAGTATTATCATACGTTTTTTAGAAAGGTTTTTGCTTTCAGAGTGCTTCAACATACAGAATCTCTTTTCACCCTCACTCAAAGACTACAATGCAGGTAAAATAAGTATTTTCAGATGTAAAAACTGAAACACAAAGAAGGTAACCATGGATGACAGGATAATAGAGTTGGAAAGGCCCTTAAACATCACCAAGTCCAATCCCCTAGTTCTATAGTTTGGGGAGCCTCAGGCCAGAGAGGCTGACATGCACAAATTCATACCAGAAATAAGTAGCAGGCTTGGAATTTGAACACAAGCTCTCTCATTGCAAAACCAACACTCTTTGTCCAAGATCACATGGAAAATAAGTGGTGAAGTAGGACAAAACCAGGCCTCCCAATGCCTAGGTCAGTGACCTTTCCACTGTATCAAACTAGCCGCCTTTAAAAAAAAAAAGATAAGTTTTTATTTAATCTTTTGTTTCTTTCTATATCACCATAGTTTTCCCAGTATCACTTTTCCCTCTCCCTTGCAGAGACATTCAATATAACAAATGCTATTTTAAGACAAAAGAGGGAAAAAATTCAGTATAACTGATCAATACAGCAAAAAAGTCTGAAAATATGTGCAACACATAACACTTGTGGACCTTGTACCTCTGCAAAAGAGTGAAGTGGGTCTGTCTTCTCATATCAGTTTTTTGAGCCATGATTTTTCTTTATTTTTTTTAATTTTTTGTCATTCCTTTCATTTACATTGTTGTAGTAATTGCATATATTGTTTTCTTGACTCTATATCAGTTCATATGGTTCTCCTCAGGTTCCTCTATATTCAAAACATTCATCATTTCTTACAATGTACCACAATTTGTTTAGCCATTACTTGATTGACGGGCATATCTCCCTTGCTGTTTAGCAATTTTCTTTACAATGTCGGAATTTCAAGAAAAGAAATTCAAAAAATGTTCATGATATAACTGTTCAGACACTTATCTTCCTTATTTTCCCACTGACATGAAATGATACTGTTCATTGGGAAATTATACCTTGACTCTGTTGACCTTTGACCTTCTTTCCTCTTTCCAGGTACCACAGCTTTGTTTTTGTTCCTGGTTATGCATCCTTCCATCATTAGTAACTCCCCCAGCCCAAAAACCTTTGAGGAGGTACAGTTCTTTAATAGAAATAACTACCACAGGGGGATTGATTGGTAAGATGGGTTATTAGTATACATCTAAAAAAGTATATATACTGTGCACAGTATAAAAAATAGCATTACTGCTCATAATGTAAGTCTGTAGACATTCCAAAGTGCCTCTGTGCCTTGGTAATTGAGTAAACATTAGAAAACACAAAGATTGTAACTCACTTTTCTGCATGTGTGCAGGAACATAGTCTTTCCAAGACACACACACACACACACACACACACACACAACTTACAATTTTATTAATTATGATGGAAATCATAGAGGCAGAGAGAAACAGCATCCAGTAATTGATGTTTTTACTAAAATTAGTAGAACAAATTGCTTTTTCACACCCCTCAATTGAGAATATCATGTTTCTCTTCATGTATACTTGACATTATTACAAATGTACAGAAGTCTAAATTTTAGACTTGACTTTGATGTCAACAAATAGTAAGATTAGCAAGTTGCATAAGTTGTAGAATATAAAAAGCCACAGCTATCAATAATTAAGGCCTTAACCAACTTAACATCAGGTTTTCAAATGAAAATTTAGAAATGCAGAAATCTAGTGCCAGGGTGGGAAGGCGGTATAAAAGTAATCAAAACATGAACTCCCTCACATGTTATATAAATGACTATCTTTTTTAAATGCTTACTACTACTGTTAATCCAAAGTTTGTTCAGAAATTATTCTTTACATACGTGTTTTAAACTTGTTCTTTGGTATGTAGGCATAGAGGAAGAAATGCAGAAGTGTGAAGGTCTTATAATTGTTCAAAAATAGTAGTATCACAATCATCATTGCATTGCTTTTCTGTAATGATTTCTCCTAAGAAGCAGAACATAGTTCTGATTATGCAACCTCATTCTTTTAACTGCATGATCTCAAATTTGCAAATACAATGGGCTCATTCCTTGATAATTGCTTTGGTATGTTCTGGACTGAGAGAGAGCAGAATGTCTTGAGCTTATGGCTTTCTGGTCTCCTAATTGTTGGACTCTTTATTGTCAAGTCTTATGGTCACATTTACATTTTGATTAAGCATGACTCTCAGCTGATTTACAAGCAGTGAGAATTCACAAACTATTTCTGAATCATAGCAAAAGCCTTTTAATAACTGTTTTCTCCAATCTGAATGCTATAGTAAAAGAGGAAAGCTTGATGCTAGCATTAAGACAAAATAAATTACTTTTTTCTCCCCCTTTCCTTCCACCTGACAATGAGTTACAAAGTTTGTATCCAGTGTCTGGGAAGAATATCTTTCCCTGAAGGAATGATAGATGAGAGGATTTGTTTGGAAAATTTGTTTGGTTTATAATACTTGGTTACTTAGGATTCACAGGGATGAAAGGTGCAATGGAGAGGCTGGAAAAGAAACAATTTCATCTAAGAAATGTATGACTAGTTCAAAAGAAAAGAGAAAAGGGTTGGTCACATAGCAAGAGTGGGAGGTAACTGTTGGTCAATGTGCTTCACAGGGATTCATGAAGTCAAGAGAACAAGATAGTGGACTCCCTCTGGTGGATATACAAAGTGCCATGCACAAAAGCCACACAATATTGACATTCATGGAAGGGCTACAATCTCAGTGGCTGGAGGGGGTACTGAGCTCAGCAAGATCACAGATCCATTGATGTATTTAAGAGTATAAACGTGAACCATCAGTGGAGGTCATTGTGTTGGGACAGCTAGCAATACAGAGAAGCAAAAGACCTGAAATTTACTCTCAAGGAGCTTACAAAATATCAGAAGTTGAAAAGTCAAATGCTAACAAAATAAGTAGCATTTCAGAATTATTAAATAATAAAATAACAATACCTAGCATCATATAGGCTTTAAGGACAGCAAAATTCTTTACATATGCTATTTCATTTGATATGAGGTTAGGTGACTTGCTCAGGGTCACACAGTTAATAACTATCTGAGGTAAGATTTTAACTCAAGTCTTCCTGATTCCAAATCTAGCACTCTTACAATGATTGCTGTTGTTTGTCCTTCATTCTTGAAGAGGACCATGATATCAGGAAGATGATGCCATGACTAGCAAGTGAATTGCATTTGAGTGAGGGATGGCTGTGCAAAGTCACCAGCCTCAGCTTCTCCACTGGAGAAACTCCATCTGGGTCCAGTAGCAAGATACAGATCAGGACAATTGGAGATGGCCCCGAATGCAGTGGGAGACCTTGGTCTTTTTAATCTGAGGTGTTTCTCAGGTCTCAGTTTCACTGATACAATGCCCATTCAGTGATTAAAGATAGGTAAGAAATGAAGCAAAGAATGGCGCTCTTCTCTTTCACCTTTCCTTTCCTTTTTCCTTTTCTTTTTCCTTTCCTTTTTCCTTTCCTTTCCTTTCCTTTCCTTTCCTTTCCTTTCCTTTCCTTCCTTTCCTTTCCTTTCCTTTCCCTTTCCTTTCCTTTCCTTTCCTTTCCTTTCCTTTCCTTTCCTACAATGAATAAGCATTATAAATATCTATATTAGAAGGGTTAGTCTTTTAATATTGTCATTTTCAATACTTCATTGGATCTGTGATCCTACTGATATGAACATTCCATCTTGCTATGCAAATAGCAAGCTATTTATATCTCATTCTATGCAAGACTCAACTCTATATGTTCCCATGAATCTGCAAGAATCAACCACCCATCATCGTGGGGGCCTTATTCTAGGTAACCAGAGTAGCAGATAGTCAACTCTTATTCTTCACTCCATCTGGGTTCAAATGTTGGTATCTGCTCTATCCAGCTATGCAAATAGCAACCTATCAACACTTCATTCCATTCAGATGTGAGCTATGTCATACCATAAATCCTCCATGGGGCAACTACTCCTCATGGTAGGGGTCTTCTTCTAGGTTATCTTAATATTAAGTACATAAGCAGAATAAGCCATCCAACTGCTGTCCTTCACTTTTACTACATAATTGACCTATGGCCTTTTCTGGTCATATATCTCTTAGATAATATAATTTATGTCACTTCTGTACAATTCATGATTATTAATATTCTGCAATTATTTACACTTACCACATGTCTCTACTACACAGCTCTTTGAATGAAATATACCTTTAATTCTTTGGAAATTCTGGTGTTCTCTGATTCAGCCAGTTAGCCAATAAACATTTATTAAGTGCCTTCTATGTTCCAGGCACTATGCTAAATGCTGAGGATATAAATATGAATTTAAAAAAAAGTCACTCCCTTCAAAGAGCTTACAATCTAATGAGGGTAATAACATGAAAGGAAGCTGAAAAGCAGGGGGTGGGGAGGTAGCTGGGGGCATGTCAGAGAATTCCAAAGAAGACCAAAATCAGTGGAGCTGGTGGGAAATGCAGAGACCCTTCTCTTTAAAAAAAGGCCCTGGGGCCCATGGACCTGCCCTCTAATCCTAGGATCAGAGGGCGCCAAGAAGATGTGAGTACTAGGCAGTTTCAATCTTACAGCATGATGAGATTTCCCAATGCTGGGTTTCCTGGGGAAGGGAAACATATTGGTGAACTCCAGAGAAGCCCCAAAACAATGTAGCTCGTTGGAAATGGGTATACACAGACATACAGCCTCACTAAAAGAATACTGATGTTAAAAACATTGGTTCTTTATTTAAGTGCTTTATCCACTATGCCAATGGGAGGCATTCCTTATTATCTAATATCAAGCTCAGATACCCCTAGAATCAGATTCAGCTGATGTTAGGATCCTAGATCTAGAATTTGAGGGGACCTCAAAGGTCATCTAGTCCAACCCCCTCACCTTTTCAGGGAGGAAACTGAGACCTAAGGGGTTTTGACTTAAGATCACACAGGTAGCAAGGAACAGAACAGAGATTTGAACCAAGGTCCTGCAACTCCAGACTCAATGATCTTTGTACCATGACACACAGAAATGCCTGATGACAAGTTACCTTAACATCTTCAAACCTGCCATTTTATCAAGTTTACTATAGCTTATAGACTCCCAAAACAATTCCTAGACTCTTAGGGACCAATCCAGAAATAGCTAAGGTAACCTGAAAGCATCAGCAGGTCCTTGGGATTCTCTCTGCAGCCCCCAAATCAGTCTGAATTTTTAAATTCTGAGCAGAAGAAACAAGTTGTTTGGTAACTGGATAAGCATCCACCTATGACATGCCTGAAATAGTTCCACTGGGCTTGTATACCCTATTCCTTAGGAAAGGGCCACAAAGACCCCCGGCTTTTATTTCACACTCCTATGCAATGTCCATAACAGCTAACAGTATGTTTATGTTGTTCAGAGACCACAGGCATTATCTGTAGTGCCAATTAAATTTTGGGAACTAGAATCCTATGGAAGGCTTTATCCACATGAGACTAAGTATAAAAAAATATATATACACTCATACATCAAAAGGAGTTGCTCAAATTTTGAAAAATACTTTTTTCAATAATTGGGAAACTGCTTTATTTTAATTTTGGTTAGTCCAAAGTCATGAAGGCCTGGATGCTCAGAGGAAGTAAAAAAGTATACCATTACTAAAATAGCAGATCAGTCATCATAGGAGACAAAAAATGGACAGATTTTCCCTGGCAATATGATGCCAGTCATGAACTCAACAAGACTTTTTAGATTGTATACGCCAGAGAAATTGGGATTTTGTTCGTTATATTTGGAGTGTTTCCAAATGGTGAACTGCAAACATTATCTTCAGAAACAGTCAATTGTATGTTGACTTACTAGAATAGGGGTTCTTAATCTGGAATTGGGGAAATTCAAAGATAGATAGATATTGATAATTATTTCAATATAATTGGTTTTCTTTGTGCTCATATTTTATTTTACGTATTTTAAATCATTATTCTGAGAAGGATTCCACAGGCTTCATTAGACTGCCAAAGACAACCATCAGAGAGAGAGAGAAGTATATATATAGAGAGAGAGACAGAGACAGAGAGAGAGACAGACAGACAGACAGGGAGAAAGTGAGTTAAGAACTCTGGAGCTCATAAGATAAAAGATTGATAACTGGAAGAGGCCTTAGAGGAAACTGAAGTCTTACTCTGGGTCACATGGTGGTTTTGAAACAATACAGAGATTTGAACTCTTGATTCCAAAGCAATTGATGTTCTCACTGTTTCAAGCTTTCATTTGTATATGAGGATTGCCATTTTCTTGGAGTGTTCAGGACATCATTTATTTTTTTAAGGTTCAGTATTTACCCTTGAGCTAACAGAAGCCCTTATACACATTGTGTTGATGCCTTAATGACTTGGCAACCTAAAGCCTGCAAAACATTGGGAATAGGCCGGGGGAAGCCCATAAGCTATATCCTCTTATCATGTTTTGTAGATTTGTCCATGTTTGATAGACTTTGACTATCACTAAACTAACCTGAAAAATGAGTATCTCAGAATGCAAAATTAGCACATATTTATGGACCCCAAAAGCAATCTAGCCTCTTGGGGGCCAATCTGAATAATAGGTAAGAAAATTACCTCTGATCTGTGATATTTCAAATTCAAGTATAACAACATCAACATGATACATGTGGGAGCAAATGAGTAGGATTTAATTGGGAAGATTTAACTGTTAAATTTTCTTTTCAGCTAAATGAGTTGAAGATCATATATTTAGAGTTGTTCATATATTTAGAGTCTAAACCCCTAATTTTATAGATGAGGTAACTGAGTCCCAGAGAGGTTAAACTATATGAGCAAAGATCACATCATTATTAAGTATCAGAGGCAGCATTCAGACTCAGATCATCTGATTCCAAGTTCAGTCCTCTATGTAATAAAGAGCCTATAGATAACATTCCTTTTCATTGTTTACCTCCTGCCCCTATTCTTGCCAGCAGATAGAATACAGAGATTGGTGTGAATGTCAAAGGAACAAAATAAAGAGATTTTTCAAGGTTCATTGTTAGAATTCAGGTTATCTCTTTCAAGATTGTTATTTGGACCATTCTGTAGATTGCTCTAAAGAAGCTCGGTTTTGTTTATGAAAGAAAAAAATTTCTTTGACACCTTTAATGTCTTCAGCCAACAGGAGACAAACTACTGACTTGTTTTGAGAATTATGTTCCTTTTCTAGGTACATGGATTTCTTCCCTGTGCCCTCTAATGTCACTACTGACTTTCTGTTTGAGAAAAGTGCCAATTACTTCCATTCAGAGGAAGCTCCCAAGCGAGCAGCATCTCTGGTCCCCAAGGCCAAGATCATTACCATTCTCATTGACCCCTCAGACCGAGCATACTCCTGGTACCAGGTATGAATAAAAATGAAAGCTAATGTTTGTATAGTGCTTTACATTTTACAAGACAATACAGGCCTTCCTTGGATTTCCTTGTGGAAATGATTCTAATATAAGTGTAAGGAGCCCTGGCCCTACAGTCAGAGGAAATAGGTTCAAATCCAAACTCTGACATTCCCTTATATGATTTTAGACAAGTGGCTTCATTTCCCTGGGTTTGAGCTTTCTCATCTCCAAATTTAGAGTAGGTAGCCTCTAAGAACATTTCCAGCTCTAGATCAGAGTTCTTAACTTGGGTCTATGAACATTTTTTGTAATGTTTTGATAGCTAAATTTCAGTAAATTGGTTTCCTTTGTAACCCTACATATTTTGTTTTGTGAATTTAATAACATTATCATAACTGAGCAAGGGTACAGAGGCTTTACCCTACTGTCAAATGACTCCAATGACATGTGGCACACACACAAAATAGTAAGAGCCATCCTCTAGACCTGTGACATCTTTTAAGCAGCAATCTTTGCAGGAGAAAATTTTATCATTCAACCACTGTGGTAGGTCTGTAGTGTTTTGGAAAAAAAAAAAGAGGCAAGGTTTTTGGTACCTATTCATATGATTCCACAAAAATATGGACAATTTTTATAAAAGATCACATTTTTTCCTCTTAGTGAATAAATAGCCTGAAAGCAATACAATAGAGAACATTTATTTATCACTTAAAGGTTTACAAAGCATTTTATATTTATTATCTCATTTGATCCTTATAACAATCCTATGAAAGAGATGGTATCTTGACTCTCATTTTATAGATAAGGAAACTGAGGCTGAGAGAGGTTAAGTGACTTGCCCAGGGTCACTCCTAGTACATATCTGAAGCAAGATGTGAACTCTAGGTTTCCTGACTCCAGTTGTAGTGCTCTATCCATTCTGCCAACTTATTTCTGAACAGGACTGATTTTCCATGAAGTTGGTTATCCATGAAATCTTAAAAATACAGTAGAGCTGGAAACAACCACTGTGGAAACTGAGACCCAGTGAGTTTAACTTATACAAAGTCACACAATTATTAATTATCAGATATACAAATTAAATCCAGGTTCTCCAACTCCAGAGATGCTGCATTTTTTCCACCTTCTTGTGTATATCTTTGAATTTCTGCATTTAAAAAAAAATTAAAGACCTTATAATCCTTTATCTTTAATATTCCTTATCAAATCAATGTGTAATGAGTAACTAAGTAATTTTAAAATAGAAGAGAAAGTATATTGTAAAAGTTTAAGAGACTCCTGGAGCTCAAATAGAAAGGCAGAGGCAAAATCTGAGATAACAATTCTTCATCCCTGGGAGTTTAACCTTTTCAACTTGCTGAATCACAGCATCTCTCTCCCACAGCATGCTCTTCTTAGAACCAGGGAGCTAACACTTTGTGTAGGTAATGCTTATCAGAGAAACAGACAGCAGGAAATGCTGCTTCCCTCTGTAACAACTTAATGGACACCCCGTGAATACATAGTATTTGGTTAGTAAACATGTTAAAGAACAACCCCACGATATTTTAATAGCTAAATAAACAAGTAAATTGAAAAGCAACTTAAATTAAATATGAGGCCATTTTGTGAGCTCAGCATCTCTGAAGTCCTCATTTTTGTGATGAGAAATTTCTACCTTATGATAAAAAAAAATGTATTTAACATATCACTATCATTCCCAGCCTTAGCTAGGCAGCCCAGATGTAATCAGTATTCTATAATCTTGGGAGAAAACCTCTAAGCAGCTCTTCATTAGCACTGGTAATAAGAGATGGGGAAATTGTGTAAAATTGGAAAGTCATGGAAAAAATTCAAGACCTCATATTGTTCATTAGTTAAGGGCTAACCTCACATCATTTAAAAAAAAATAAACAGAATAATTGACAAATAGCAAAGCTGACTGATTGTAGTCTCAGTCCTCTCTCTAACACTCTCAACTTCTAATGAAAGTAGTAATGAGCATATAAATGACCACAAGGCAAATAACGAGAGAGGAGAAGAAAATGTAAGCCTCTAAATCATTGAGATAGAAATAATTAAGGGTAGACTGAAAAATGGGCCATCAGGATTTGAAAATGATAAGCTGTTTTAAATATTATAAATAACTAAACCACTCCACAGTGGTACAGGACAGGCCAAAGAAAGAGTAATAGCTTACCTTTGTAAAGCACTGTAAGCCCTAAAGTGCAGATTCACACATAAGAATTCATTTAATCTGCACCAATAATCCTGTGATATCTGTACAGTAGAGGAAGTATTATTATCCCGACTTTACAGATAAAGAAACTAAGGCCCAGAAAATCAAACTCATGTGTTCATGGTCAAATAACTAGAAGGTGGCAGGACTAGGGCTCACTTAAGGAGTATTCACATTGGTGAGGTTATAGATGCATTAAAGTGTCAAATTCACAAAATGCATTACCATTACAGAGATTTAATTTGTAAACCTCATAGGATAAATGAGAAAAAAAATCCTGGAGATTTCTGAGGGTAGATTTAGTGTTTTCAAAGGCTTTAATATTTAGACATAATGACAAAGTGCCTTCTACTTAAATGTATCCCAAAATAGATGTAAAACATTAGACGGTACTTGAGGGAGGCATTGTATATACAATAAGGGTGAGTCCCATATTTGCATTTGCACAGCGAACTCCCAAGTGAGGAAACTTCCTCTACCAATTTCAATTTAATTCAATAAATATTTATTAGACACCTATTATGTGCTGGGAATTCAAAAGTCTTAGGGCTACTATAGTATTAGAGAGATGACTAGACTATAGGCATTGAGAGGTTAAGTGACTTGCCCAGGGTTACACCATCCCTATGCACGCATCACATCAAGGATGTGAACCTAAGTTTTCTTGGCTTTGAAACCAGCCCTCTATCAACTATATCATGCTGTTTCTCCTGCTTAGCATATAATGCAAATGATCCGAGTCTACTACAAAGCAAACTAAGGAACTTAAAAAGCAATACATCTTTCTGAATTCATCTCCTGGGGAAATACAATTTTCCTTTATAAAATCATTCTCAAATAATATTGCTTAAAGAATCCTATCAACAGAAATTCAATATATTTGCAGACAAGTCTCTACATACCTGTGGCATGACTTTGAAGTTATTTTCCCAAGGAAATCTTTTCAAAAGGTTACTCTCAGCCTTTGTTAATTGCAAAACAAATAAGTCTCTTCCAGAGCAAAGGTCTTTGCTTTCAACTTTTGATCTTCTCCCAAAGATTTGCTTGTCCTTGCTTATGACTGGGATTGAGATGGCTTTCATGTCCCATTTTTCTACTGTAGCATCAGCGATCACATGAAGATCCTGCAGCTCTGAAATTCAGCTTTTACCAGGTAATCACAGCTGGTCCCCGAGCTCCCTCAGAGCTGAAAGTGCTACAGAAGAGATGCCTGGTACCTGGCTGGTATTCTACCCATATAGAAAGATGGTTAAATTATTTTCCTCCATTTCAGGTATGTTGACAAAGCATTTTACAGCATATTAACATACAATTTAGTTAATAGCTTAGCTTCTTGGTCTAAAAGAAGGAGGAATAAGGAAGGTGGAGATAGGCAGATATTTATGCTTGTTTTTTTACTTTCCCAATGATTACCGTTAGTCAATCTCAAATAACTATTTCAATACAATCAGTCTCCTGTGTAATCCTAGATATTTCCTTTTATGCATTTAAAATGCAAAAATGTATGTATTCTGAGAAGGGGTCCATAGGTTTCACCAACTGCCAAAGAGGGCCATGATATACAAAAAGGTTATGAACTTCGTATTAAATACATCATTCTTTTCCACAGTGTTCCTTTCTAGGTTGCTATTACAACATACTTGACATGATGTGTGAATGTGCATATACACATATGTGAATTTGTGTACATATGTATGTGAATATGGATATATATGTGTGTATAGACATACAAACATGCACATTTGAAGTATGTGTATGCATACATACATACACATAGTATTGTACAAATTCTTGGGGCAAAGTTATAATAATGTTATCCATTATTGTTTATTATTAGCTATTAAATATTATTTTAAAATAATAAATTTTTGACATGTATTAAACCTTCCAGTTTCTATATTTTTTAAAGCTTTGAATGTGCAATATGTCTTCCTTTTGCTATAACAACTTCTTTTACAAAATTTGGCCTCAAATTCACGAGATTTTAACGTTTTGTTTTTAATCTTCCTTATGAAACTACACTTATCACATCAGATATTTTAAGCATGCCTTTGACAAATAGTCAATTTATCCAAGTCTGGCCTTGATCATAGCCCATATGTTTTCAATGAAGTTTAAATTAGGCTAGTTTATCTCAATCTCATAGATAAATTTCTTAACCTTTTCTTTTGTGGCATGGCCTTATTGTAGCATCCCCTCTCAATTTGTAAATTTCTGTAATTCTGGAACAGTATTTATTAGAGTTCATCATTCTCTCAATGACAAAAAAATTTCAAGGCCCATTGGAAGAAAAAAAAAATGTCTCAAATATTTTTGCGGATGGTTGGTTTACCATCTGATGGAAATGCCCAGAGTTTATAGGCTTACCAGGACTCTATCTGACAAGACTTTTGGGATAGCCTTGAATGAAGAGTGAGTTTTATCAATAAAAATTACCTTTTCTGGGGCAGCTAGGTTAGCACAGTGGATAGAGCACAGGCCTTGATAACACTCACTAGCTGCGTGACTCTGGGCAAGTCACTTAACCCCAATTGCCAAAACAAAACAAACAAAAAAATTACCTTTTCCAAATTATCAGGACTCCAGAATTTGTATTGCCATGTCCGTAACAATATTTATTGTTTCTCCTTCATTTCAATGGTTAGTAGATGCTTTTTGTCGGTTTTTTGTTTTGTTTAGCTTTTTGTTTTTGTTTTTACTGGTCCTCATACTTTTCTCCGGCTACAACAAACCCACTATATGTCCCACTATAGGGTAAACTGTAACATTGTTTTCTGAGGATTAATTAAGCTGTTTTGCAGTAATACTTTGTTAGCATTTTACTTTTTTTTTCATTTTCAATTGTACTTTGTGTTTCTGTAAGACCGATTCTGTTTCCTGTGAGCTTGAACGATCCTTGAGATACTTGAGGACACATCAACAGTCACTACAACATGTCTATCAGTCTTTGAAGTGTGATTTTTAAGAACTACAGCTTTTACAGGTTTCTTTGGGGTTAATATCCATTCTTCAAAAGCACGGAATTAAAGACACAAAAAATGAGAGCAATGAAATGTGTATGGCATGGAAACTGAGTACTGAACTAACAGAGAGCTAACTGAAAGTATGGAAACCATTTCAATGCATATTACTCAACACAAGGTCTGGCATTTTGAGGCAATCTAGTAAAAATAGAAACACACTTACATACACACACACACACACACATACACACACACACACTTCCATTGCTGTCATAAAACAAAGCCAAATAAAAATTATTGCAAGTTCCAAAACATTCACGCACCACTGTATTTATATATAAGTATTTATACACACATACCTAGACACTGATTTTCATATGCACTGTTTTCTCCACATTTCTAAATTCTTGGTCCTTTAATTTTACTCTTTGTGCTTAATGTTCATAGTACTTTCTGGATAATAAAATACTTCTGAAATGACAATTAAATATTCTAATGGGCACTTAAACTGCATTTATATTTGGGCAGTTTACAAACTGAATGCTGTATAATTTTAATGATCAAGCTTGGCCTCAGAAAAGAATAGAGACAGTGCACTTCTCTCTTTTTTCTGAAGAAGTGGGGGGACTGTGGATGCAGAGTATTGTATAGCCTGTCCGACTCAGATGATATATTGGCAGGTTTGTTCAACATTTTCTCCCCCTAAAGTGCCTATTGTGTATACATCATGCATAGAAATCCCATATAAACCTATGGTATATCACATGGTTAGTTTTAGGTTTTCATTTTTATTTTCCCTTCTTTGTTACAAGAATTGACTCATTCAGTAGGAGAAACAGTAGGATATATTTAGAAACAAAGGTGATGATGATGATGATGATGATATATATACATATATATGTGCACACATATACGTATTATATGTGTATATTTGCATATACATACATATAAATAATTTTTAAAAGATGTCAGGATTTAGTATACTGAAAAAATATGAGTTTAAAAAGTACAGAAGGGGAAGATTTTTCAGCACAAAAAACTAAGATGAATTAAGGCTTCAGAGTGTCCAGAATTGAGAGAGGTCATTAACCTGCTCAGAACACATCAGGAGTTTGACCCTGAATGAAAAATTTAAAAATAAATTGACAAATTGGAGTTAGTCCATTGAAAGATGAACAGGATTTTTAGAGAACTAGAGTTTCTAAGTGGCACAGCAGATAGAGTACTGGACCTGAAGTCAGAACGATTAATCTTCCCGAGTTCAAATCTGACCTCAGACATTTACTAACTGTGTGATCCTGGGCAAGTCACTTCACTCTGTTTGCCTCATCTTTTTCATCTGTAAAATAAGCTAGAGAAGAAAATAGCAAACCACTCCAGGATCTTTGCCAAGAAAACCCCAAATAGAGACATGAGGAAAATGGACTGAAAAACAACTGAACAAAAGGGACAATGACATTCGAAAAGTACTTACAGAGACTGGGGGTGTTTAGCCTAGAAGAGATAATTCTTGGAGATGGAGAAGACATTATCTTTGTCTCAAAGTATCTGAAGTCCTGACAAGTAAAACAGGATATAAATTCTGCTTGTTCCCAGAGGGTAGAAATAGAAACAATTGTGGAAGGTGAACAGAAAAAGATTTAGGTTCCACATAAGGAATTACATTCTCAAAGTGCAATTTTACCAAAATAAAATGTTGTTATGCGCCATGAGTCTGTAGCTTTCTCTGTCATTGGAAACCACCTAGCAAAGTGAGGAAGGCTATCTGTCAGAGATGTTCTAAACCATTGGATTCAAGGACCTCTTAGGTTCCTTCCAACACTGACTTTCTATGATTCTGATATTAAAATTGGTCATTAATAAAGATACTAAGTAAGGCTGATCTTGCAGCAATATATGTAGACCTTCATTGGACTATGATGCTTCACGTACTAGAAATGAATTTACCATACAAGTTTTTCATTTCTAAGCTCAAGTAGCTGATGGTTTTTTAAAACAGATTTTCTATTATTTTTGCTTTGTTCTTTTCCCTCCCTGGCTCCCCCCACATTCAGTTACTAATTATTGATGGGCAGCAGTTAAGAACTGACCCTGCTACTGTGATGGATGATGTGCAAAAGTTCCTGGGAGTCTCTTCTCATTATAATTATTCAGAAGCTTTAACGTAAGTATATTTGTTGCCTAACTTGCTTCATTTTTAGCTGTGAACTGATTTGGAAGGAATTGTAATGGGGTGCTACTGGTAAACAGTTGGTTATTTCTTTCCATGCTAATGATTAGGTAGCTAGGTACATTAGATTATGTAGCACAATGGAAACAGGATAACCAAATTCAAATCTGTCCTTAAATATTTATTATCTCTGTGACCTTGGATAAGTCATTCAACCTCAATTTCCTCAACTGTAAAATAGGGATAACAATAGTACCTGCCTCCTAAGATTGTTGTGAGAATCAAGTGAGATATTTGTAAAGTGCTTAGAATAGTTCCTGGAACACAATCAGCACACAGTAGGTGCTACTAGTTACTGGGGCAGTTAGGTGGCACAGTGGATAGAGCACTGGCCCTGAATTCGGGAGGACCTGAGTTCAAATCCGGCCTCAGACACATAACCCTTACTAGCCATGTGACCCTGGGCAAGTCACTTAACCCCATTGCCTAGCCAAAAAAAAAAAAAAAGAATAAATGTTAGTTATTATTCTTTTTGTATGGTAATAATCACTGAGGGAAAAGTGGGACATACGTTTTAATACGAATTAGACTTCAGAAGCCCTGAGTTATTATTCCTAACTATCCCTGTAATTATTTTTAACTATCTCCCCCTCCCACTTGTCCTCTTTATGAGACTATTGCCCCATCATTAATCCCCAAGGGTCCTGGGGCCTTTATAGCTATCCTGCTTTTTTCCCTGTCTATAAACTACCTGCCTTTTCCATCTGCTATGACCTGAACAGACTCATAAGGTCTTTTTAATGTGCTATCTACTCCAATTAGAACGTGAACTCCTTGAAGCTCGATTTTCTGTTTGTATCCCCCAAGCAACATAGTGATTTACATGTAGTAAATGCTAAATAAATGATTTTCTATCCCATTCCATTCAAGATATAGATTGGGGAAACAATCATTGTCAAGGGAGGGCAAAAACACGAAGGGAATGAAATGAAACCTAAAACCAGCCATGAATCCTGAGCAATATAAGATATGTTTATTCATTATTTCTACATATGATGTACACATAGTACACTCTTTTAAAAAATAAACAATGAATCTCTAACAGTTGTGAAGTGTCTGGTTTCAATACTAAGGTACAATGCATGCTTCTTGGAGATATCAAAAACATGTTTCATTTTTCTATAATGATCCATCATAAGTGATCAATAAGAAATGTTACAACAATATTGTTACAACAATATTACCATACTTTCTCTGCCTCCAAAATGGAGAGCCTTTCTGATTTCTCTTGAGTAAATATTTATGGTGCAAAGGACTATACTAGGTACTGGGGAAAGAAAGACAAAAATGGGATAGTCCTTGCCCTCAGGGATCTATTATTTTATTGTGAGGAGTAAAAAAAAAGTATGTTTATACACACACACACACCTATCTAAATTCTTAGTCCTTTAATTTTCCTCTTTGTGCTTGGTGTTCACAGTACTTTCTGGATCATAAAATACTTCTGAAATGACAATTAAATATTCTAATGTGCATTTAAATTGCATTTAGATTTGGGCAGTTTACAAACTGAATGCTGTGTATAGGGAGAAGGCCCTAAAAACTTGTGGAATCAGAAAAGAGTTTTCTGTAGTTGTCTTTTACATTGATCTAACAATTCTAAGACATGGAGTGAAGGAGCACTGAATTGCAGGGGAGAAGAGCAAGCAGTGTAAAAACAGAGAAATAGAATATGAAATGTTCTGATATAAAATTTAGTAGAGCAATTTGGCAGGCACTTACAGTATGTGAGAGGAATAATAAAAGATGAATCCAGAAAAACAAATAATAGGTTTATATTTATCTTTGTGGGGTGGAGATTTTTGGACATTTTCAGATTTGAGATGAGACATGATTGTTCCCAAAAAACTTTTCAATGAAGAGAAAATGAATACATGTTGAATATATGTTATATAAAAGCAACTGCTGTCTTCATTTAGAGAAAACTAAATAGGTCAGTGGCTAGAACACTGGGTCTGGAGTCAGGACAACCAGCCTCAGATATTACCAACTGTGTGTCCAACTGGGCAAGTCACTTAATCTCTATCTGCCTCTGTTTTCATATCTGGAAAATGAAAATAATAATAACACTTATAATGTTATTAAGTGTTGCAATTATAATAATTATAATACCATTATAAAATAATAATGATATTCCCAGGGTTATTGTAGTGAGGATGGCAAGGAATGTATTGATAAAATGTTCTATAAACCTTAAAGTGCTATATAATACTACATTTCATTATTAATTCAGAAATTTATTTGCCAATGTCATTTTCAAAATCTTTCCCCATATCCCTATTTTTTTTTTTGCTGTTTGAATTTTATTTTTATACAGAATCAGTAGTATTTGATGTAGCCATATTAAATTGCTTTCCTATTTCAAACCAGGGGGGAAATCCCCCAGATTTTGTCAGTTTTCACCTTGTTGAAGAAATATATATATATATATTTTTTTAATTTCTTAATTGATCTCTCTCTCTCTCTTTCTCTTCTCTCTGTCTCCCCCCATATGTGTGTGTATATATATATATATATATATATATATATATATATATATATAGAGAGAGAGAGAGAGAGAGAGAGAGAGAGAGAGAGAGAGAGAGAGAGAGAGAGACAGAGACAGAGAGAGACACAGAGAGAGAGAGAGAGAGAGAGAGAGAGAGAGAGAGAGAGAGAGAGAGATGAATGGATGGATAGACAGATAGACAGACAGATAGATAGATAGATAGATAGATAGATAGATAGATAGATAGATAGATAGACAGATAGACAGATAGACAGATAGATAGATATTAACCTCTGTATGCATCAGGGAATGATTTGTTCAGTAGTTTTTACAAGAATTCCAAATTTCCAAGAATTCCAAAATTCCACCTGCTTCTTGTCACCAATTCATTAGAAATTGTTTTGTGTTCTTTTAGACATTAGTACTGAAGTGGTAGAAGAAAGATGCTAAATTTTTTACATTTCCCTAGTGATCTTCTTAAGAAATATTGCACTGTCTTCAACTTTTGGGTGAATTTTTTTGCTCTTGTTTTCCTAAAATGTATTCAATTTTTGGTCGTAATATATTTCATTTTATTCACTTAGTTGTATATAATGCAACTAAAAATGAAATAGTTGTTGAGTAGGTTTGCAAATATTTTTAGGTTAAAGGCATACAGAGGTTAAGTGACTTGCCCAGTGTTACACAGCTAATAAGGATTGTGTCCTCTTCTCTGTAGACTCTCTCTACTCTACTTGCAACTGATGCTGATGCATGAGCTGCAATTATCTTCCTGGTGTTCTTTGTTTTCACTCATCCAAAGTATTACAGGGCAAGATGAACAACTGTGCCACAGCATCAGGTTTCTTGTTTTCCTTCTGCACTAGATAAAAACAGTTCTGTCAAGTCCTTTACTTGCTTCCCCAAGGAGAACCTGTAAGAATCATCCTTCCTTTTAACATCAAGTTCTTTGTTTCTTCTGGTTTCATTTGTCAGTCAAAATGTATTTAAGTGTTTATCACGCACCAGGCACTGTGCTCAGTTCTGTGAATACAAAGAATGGGTAAAACCCAAATCCCAATACATTCCCTCAAGGAACTGACATAGAGTATAACTGGAAGGGAATCTCGGAGGGAAGGGCCTACAAGGGGGAAAGGAATGGCAGAAAAGCTTCTTACCAAAGTTGGGATCTGAGCGGATCTATGAAGGGAGTCAGGAAAGTGAGGAGTCACAGGTAAGAAGGGAGAACATTCCAGGTATGGGGGAGAGACAACAGAAATTCATAAAGTAGGATGATGGAGTGCCATGTGTAAAGAATACCAAGTGGGCCAATACGGCCGGATGACACGTGAATGGAAAAGAGAAAAGAAAGCACAAGAAAGCTGGACACATAGGAAGCAGCCAGATTGTGGAGGGCTTTAAATGCTAGAAGATGATTTTCTATTTGATCTTAGAGGTGATAGGGAGTCTCTGGGGTTTAGAATATCAATATCGGTATAGCTCAGTTCCTCCATTACTGTGTGAACATGTTGATCATTTTACAAAGATATCAAATTTTGAATAGAAATAGTTTGAAAGAGTATTGTAAATAGATATGTGAGGTGAATTTACCTCCATTTCTCAGTTTCCTATGTCTGAACCAAAAGGCAAGTATCCATCTCTATAACCCATGGGTCTGACTCAGAAGAAAATTTGTTGTTTTCTGAAAAGTTATGAACCAAGCTTTAAAATTAATTGAAAAAGGTGCACTATTGGATACCCTTATCTTATTTCTTAGTATGAAGCTTTCCCTGTATTCAATACTGTATATGAATAAATCTTATCACCTTCATGGCAGCATTTTTCTTATATATACTTGGGAAGTGGGAGGAAAATAAAGGAAAATAAAGACCTAAGACCCTGGAAAGTTAAGCTCTATTTGTGGCCCTCCTTTTGATTCAGTTGTTACCTTTGACCTCTTATTTCTGTAAGCTTATAGATCTCTGCCAGTGTTTTTGGCATTGGTACTGACTCAGTCACACACCTTTAAGTATTTAACATTCACTTGACCTTAAAAAAAAAACTAAGTGGTTGTAGTTTTAAATTGGAAATCCAAGTCTTTATTTTGATTTTCCTAAAATCTTAGGAAAGAAACTTTCACTTTTTTTAAAAGGAAAGGAAAAGTCTCCGTTTAGTGCTTTCAAATTGGCTATTGTTTTGTCTTTGTTTTTTTTTCCGCATAAACCTTATAACAAAACCATAAGTTGGAGGTAAGAATTCTATAAAGAGGATCTATTTTTTTAGAGCATGATCTTTGACCTATGCACTACGCACCTGTCTCCCATCTAACTGCCTCGAGACTATTTTTCATTCATCTCTTTTGCCAAGAAAAGGAGACATAAACTTAAGAGAATAAAGATAAAAGCTACTTGTTCTATACAAGAAACTGCAGGTCAGTCTGCAGGAGGGTTATGCCCAGATGAAAATG